AAATTGAAGAATAGAGAAAAAATGAAAAATTACCAAAACGAGAAATCGAAACTCCGAAATTTAAAAAATTGAAAAACTGAAAATCGAAACATCGAAAAATTGGAAAATCGAAAATTCTAAAAAAGAAAAATTGAATAAACTAAAGTTTAACGAAAAATTGAAAATTCTAAAAGTAATAAATCGAGAAATCAAAAAAAATTGGGGGTCCAAAAATCGGAAAGTCGAAAAATCGAAATATTGAAAAATCCCAAAACTGGAAGAAATATCCAAAAAATTGAGAAATTAAAAAAATGCAAAATTGAGAAATCGAAAAACTGAAAAAGCAAAGTTGAAAAATCGTAAGCTTAAAAAATCGAAAAATTAAAAAATCAAAAAACTGTGAAATCGAAGATTTGAAGACTTGAAGAAGTGAAAAATCTAAACTTTGGGAAGTCGAGAAATGGGAAAATCAACAAATAGATTAATTGGAAAATCGGACAAATAAAAAAACAGAAACGTAAAAATTTGAAAAATTAAAAAATACTGAAGAACTGAAAAATAGAAAAATCTTAATATCTAAAATTTAAAATATTGAAAAACTAAAAAATCCACAAATCGAAACTCGAGAATTTGTAAACTTGGAAAATTGAAAAATCGGATAATTTAAAAATCGAAACATCGAAAAACCGAAAAAACGACAAAATGAAAAATTGAAACATCGAAAAATTCAAAAACTGAGACATCGGGGAATCGAAAAATCAAAAAATCATGAAATCGAGGAGTCAAAAATTCGAGAAGTCGAAAAATCGAAAAATTGAAAAATAGACTGAATAACAAAAAAATTGAAATATCGAAAATTTAAAATTCGAAAAATTGAAAAACTGAAACATAGAAGAACTGAAAACTCGAGAAAACGAAAAATCGAAAAATCTAGAATTTTCAAAATTGCAAAAATGAAAATATCGAAAAATTGAAAAATTGAGAAATCGAAATATAAAATAGTCGTAAAATTAAAAATCGAAAAGTCGACGAATCGAAATATTAAAAATTCTAAAACTGAAAGAAAAATCCAAAAATTGAGAAACTAAAAAATTGGAAAATTGAGAAATCGAAAAATCGAAGAATTGAAGAATTGAGCAATCGAAGCTTTGAGAAGTCAAGAAATGGGAAAATCAAAAATAGATTAATTGAAAAATCGAAAAACTGAAGATTTAGCAACGTCAAAATATGAAAAATTTAAAAAATAGAAATAATACTGAATTACTGAAAAATCAAAAAATCGAGAAAAACAAAAAAAAATTATAACATTGAACAATATCGCAAAAACATCAAAAAATAAAAAAAATCCAAAATCTAAAATTTAAAAATCGAAAAACCGGAAAATCGACAAATCGAGCAACCGAAACTCCAGAATTTAAAAAATTGAAAAATTGAAAATCGGATAACTGAAAACTGAAACATCGAAAAATTGGAAAATCGGAAAATCGAAAAGACCAAAAGTTAAAAACTGAAAAATTGATAAATCGAGAAACTGAACAATCAAAACGTGGAAACATCTCAATTCGATAAATCGACAAAGCAAAAAATTGAAAAATTGAGAAATCGAAATATAAAATAGTCGTAAAATTAAAAATTGAAAAGTCGACGAATCGAAATATTAAAAATTCTAAAACTGAAAGAAAAATCCAAAAATTGAGAAACTAAAAATTGGAAAATTGAGAAATCGAAAAATCGAAGAATTGAAGAATTGAGCAATCGAAGCTTTGAGAAGTCAAGAAATGGGAAAATCAAAAATAGATTAATTGAGAAATCGAAAAACTGAAGATTTAGCAACGTCAAAATATGAAAAATTGAAAAATAGAAATAATACTGAATTACTGAAAAATAAAAAAATCGAGAAAAACAAAAAAAAATTATAACATTGAACAATATCGCAAAAACATCAAAAAATAAAAAAAAAATCCAAAACCTAAAATTTAAAAATCGAAAAACCGGAAAATCGACAAATCGAGCAACCGAAACTCCAGAATTTAAAAAATTGAAAAATTGAAAATCGGATAACAGAAAATTGAAACATCCAAAAATTGGAAAATCGTAAAATAGATAAAACCAAAAGTTAAAAGCTGACAAATCGAGAAACTGAACAATCAAAAGATCGAAACATCTGAATTCGATAAATCGATAAATCAAAAAATTGAAAAATCGAAAAATTGAAAAATCGAAAAATTGAAAAATCGAAATTTAACGGAAAATTGAAACTCCAAAAAGTAAAAAATCGAGAAATCAAAAAAAAATCGAGGGGTCCAAAAATCGAAAAATGGAAAATCGAAATATCGAAAAATCCCAAAACTGGAACAAATATCCAAAAAATTGAGAAACTAAAAAATTGGAAAATTGAGAAAAAGAAAAACTAAAAAGCAAAGTTCAAAAATCGTAAGCTTGAAAAATCGAAAAATTGAAAACTCAAAAACCTCAAAAATCGAAGATTTGAAGACTTGAAGAAGTGAAAAATCGAAACTTTGGGAAGTCGAGAAATGGGAAAATCAACAAATAGATTAATTGAAAAATCGGACAACTGAAAATTCAGAAACATAAAAATTTGAAAAATTAAAAAACACTGAAGAACTGAAAAATAGAAAAATCTTAAAATGTACAATTGACTACATTGAAAAACTAAAAAATCCACAAATCGAGAAATCGAAACTCGAGAATTTAAAAACTTGGAAAATTGACAAATCGGATAATTCAAAAATCGAAACATTGAAAAACCGAAAAAGCGACAAATCGAAAAATTCAAAAACTGAGACATCGGGAAATCGAAAAATCAAAAAATATGAAATCGAGGAGTCAAAAATTCGAGAAGTCGAAAAATCGAAAAATTGAGAAACCGAAATAGGCCAAAACTGAAAAGTCGAACAATCAAAAATGGAAAAATCGATAAATCGAGGTACTGAACAATAAAAAAATTGAAAAATCGAAAATTTAAAATTCATAAAATTGAAAAATTAAAATATAGAAGAACCGAAAACTCGAGTAATCGAGAAATCTAGAATTTTAAAAACTGAAAAATTAAAATATCGAAAAGTTGAAAAATTGACAAATCGAAATATGAAATAGTGGCAAAAATTGAAAAATCTAAAGTTTGAAAAACAAAAAACTGAAAATCCGAAAAATTAAAATCGAACAATCGATATATTAAATAAATTCTAAAACTGAAAGAAATATTTAAAAATTGAGAAACCAAAAAATTGGAAAATTGAGAAATCGAAAAACTGAAAATTTAGCAACGTCAAAATATGAAAAATTGAAAAATAGAAATAATACTGGATCACTGCAAAATCAAAAAATGGGGAAATCGACAAATCGAGCAACCGAAACTCCAGAATTTAAAACCTGAAAAATCGAAGATTTGAAGATTTGAAGAAGTGAAAAATCGAAACTTTGGGAAGTCGAGAAATGGGAAAATTAAAAAATAGATTCATTGAAAAATCGGACAACTGAAAATTCAGAAACCTAAAAATTAGAAAAATTAAAAAATACTGAAGAACTGAAAAACAGAAAAATCTTAAAATCTAAAATCTTAAAACATTGGAACACTAAAAACTCCTCAAATCGAGAAATCGAAACTCGAAAATTTAAAAACTTGGGAAAATTGAAAAATCAGATAATTCAAAAATCGAAACATCGAAAAACCGAAAAAACGACAAATCGAAAAATTCAAAAACTGAGACATCGGGAAATTGGAAAATCAAAAAATCATGAAATCGAGGAGTCAAAAATTCGAGAAGTCGAATAATCGAAAAACTGAGAAACCGAAAATTGAAGAATTGAGCAATGGTAGTTTTAAGAAATCGAAAAACTGAAAATTTAGCAACGTCAAGATATGAAAAATTGAAACGGTATACTTATAAAACAGTCGAAAAATTGAAAAATCTAAAGTTTAACGAAAAATTGAAATTCCAAAAAGTAAAAAATTGAGAAGTCCAAAAAATTGGAAAATTGAGAAATCAAAAACCTGAAAAATCGATAACTTGAAGAATTGAAAAATCGAAAGTTTTGGAAGTCGGGAAATGGGAAAATATAAAAAGGTTACTTCAGAAATCGGAAAACTGAAAATTTAGAAACGTCAAAATTTGAAAAATTGAAAAATTGAAGTATTTAAAAACGTAGAATTCAAGAGGACAAAAACTGAAAAAATGTATCATTGAAAAATCGGAAAATTGAGAAATTGAAAAATAAAAAATCGAGAAATCGAAAAATTGAAGAATAGAAAAATTAAGACATCTAAAGTTGAAAAATCCAGCAATCGAAAGCCGAAAAGTCTCAATAACATATTTATAAAGCACAAAATTATAAGATGGCATCATAAATTTCTGGGGGGCATGAACGGACAAATTTTGCCGTCTAGGGTAAAAACTCAACACGGATGTAGAAACCGTCAACGGAGGCTATAAAATTACACTTACTACCGTAAAATTTAATAATAAGATAAATTGCTTAGAGTCGATATTGGCCTGAGTGCGCTCTGGTTCGTAGATCAAACAAGTTCTCAGGCAACATCATCATCTGAATTGCCACTAATTCATTAATTCTACATCCTCCAAAAACTCCCACAATAAAAATTACTCTTTGCAGTAAATATTCATCGTCAGAAACATTATTAAAAGAGATGATCTGATTACTTAAAATTCCTAAAATTATCCTACGGACGTCCAAACGGAAACAGAAAGCGCATTTCCAGTCAGAGCCAGATAATCCTAAAATTTTCTCCTCCGCGTAAAGCCAACTCCCGTAATAACCGCATCCCGTCTCCGACAACCTGCCATTTGGCACGCGCCGCTCTTGCCCCACATCCACCAAATTCCTCGCCACCCCTCGCGTGCAGCCGCCGCCTCCGCCGCAGCCCAGAATCCGCAACGCAGAATCGCGCCGCCGGCCCCCGTTCTATTTCTGCAGCAAGCAGAATGCAGAAAGGGGAAAGGGGGAGGGGCGTTCCAGGCTCATCCCGGCCGCCAGAGCAATTCCGTGAGTGATTCGAAACCTGTTGAGTGTCGAAAAAAAGGCCCACGAGGAGGAAATCGCTAGTGCCACTCTCGGCCAGGATTTATTGTTAATGTCTAATTATAGTTTTCGTCCGCTTCCAACTTATTTTCGGACCGTATTAACAACAAATCTTGCCTAGTAAACAGCGCAAGTAGTGTTGGTTCAGTGGTTGGTTGGTGGGCTGCTGCGGAATCCATGGGCAAAACGCATGAGGTGGTAGTCACTCTGCGAAGGGATTCCCCGCACGAGCAATGGGGGTTCAGCCTGGTCGGGGGCTCGGACGTGCGGGCGCCGCTTATAGTCACCAGGGTAAGGTTACAAGGTGACACCTGTCACACAGTGTCGTATTCGATTTTTTTTTCACGCTAATTGTTCGCTTTTTGTGGTTATTTTTGCGAAATTGTGACCCGGCTAAACTTCATTGCGTTCTTACGTCACGGGTTTGAATGTCATTTTCGTTGATTGTGACGACATTTCACCGTCACCGTTCTACGCAATCGAGAGAACGTTAAACTGCCTGTATTGAATTACAGGAAAATATTTTTTATAGTTATTTTTGGAGCGCCTCAGGGTCTAACCCTGCGCCTGTTATTTTCACATACTCGTAATGATTTAGCAACGAGTGCGTTATTAATTGCTGCGACTGAACCACATTTTCACACATTTAAACATTCTGACCCATCCTAAGCGTGCAACTCCTCTTAATCCTCTGAATTGATTACTTAAGACATTAATAACCTATCCAACAAAAATCTGGCAACATTTAACTTGATCGCATCATGTTCAGATTTATCTAAATTCCTTTATTCATAGTCAGATTCAAATCAAATAATCACAAGTGTTGATGCGACGAACGCGAAGACAAGGTCGTACAAACCACATGTTTCGAGGGATGACCAAGCGGTTTTGGACATGTGTGGTGTTACTTAAAGGTCGTGCGACGTTTATAGATGTTTAACTATTTCGCAACAAAATTAAATTTAAAACGGTCTTTTATAAGGTGACCTTGGCGACTGTTGGAGTGTCAGTGGTTAATTTTGACGCCATTTATTATTCATACGTAAAAAGTTTCATGTTGATTTTTGTTTGGGGTGGGTCAGAGTTTAAATTTAGGACAAATATTATTTTAATGTTTATTAATGATCTAGTAGGACGTTCTATCTACAACTACTACTAGACATAAGAATATGCGTTGTTGTATTCTACAGATTTTTCTTTTACCTGCTGCCTCACTATTAATACTATGTAATTTGTTAAATTTTTCTAATTTTGATTGGTGTTGATTCTTCCTCTACAGTTTTTTTATCTTGCTTTGGTGTTAAAAGACGTAAAAGTCAAAGATGGAAGTGATTATAAAAACTGTAACTCGAAGAGAAGCTAAAAGAAGAAAAATACTGAAAGAAAAGATCAAGTGCTCTGGTGTACCACGCCTACTGGCGCCTTTGGAAATTTCCCGCTTTTTAGATAGTTGTCTTTGAAGCAATTCGAAAGAATCTCGGGTTCCTCTTTTGTTTTGTTTTTGAAATAGAAATCTCGGGGAACTCTTACGTTTTGTTTTTAAAGTAGTTTTAAAGAATCTCGATCTCTCTGTGGGTCTAGTTTTTGAAGTAATTTGAAAGAATCTCGAGGCCTCTTGCGTTTTGTTTTTGAAGTTGCTTGAAAAAATTTCGATGACTTGTGTTTTGTTTTTGAAGTACTTTGACAGAATTTCAGGGACCCCCCATGCATCTAATTTTTGAAGTAATTTGAAAGAATCTGGGGGAATTCTTGTATTTTTTTTCTGAAGTAGTTTGAATCTCGAGGCATATTGTGTTTTGTTTTTGAAGAAGTTTGAAAGAATCTCGGGGCCTCCTTTATCTGGTTTTTGAAGTAGTTTTAAAGAATCTCGGGGACCCGTTTTGTCTGGTTTTTGAAGTAGTTTGAAAGAATCTCGGGGACCCCCTGTGGGTCTCGTGTTTGAATAAATTTGACAGAATCTTGCGAACGCCTTTCTTTTGTTTTTGAAGTAGTTTGAAAGAATCCCGGGGACTCCTTGGGGCTCTAGTTTTTGAAGTAATTTGGAAGATTCTCGTGGACCTGTTGTTCTTTGTTTATGAAGTAGTCTGAAAGAACCTCGGAGACCCCCGTGGGTACAGTTTTTGAAGTAATTTGAAAAAATCTCCAGGAGTTCTTGTGTTTTTATTTGAAGTAGATGGAAAGAATCTCGGGGATTTCCTGTGGGTCTAGTTTTTGAAGTAATTTGAAACAATCTCGAGGCCTCTTGTGCTTTGTTTTTGAAGTTGTTTGAAATAATTTCGGTGACCTCTTGTGTTTTGTTTTTGAAGTAGTTTGACAGAATTTCGGGGACAGCCGTAGACCTAATTTTTTTAAGTAATTTTCAAAGAATCTCGGGGACCTTTTGGGGGTCTAGGTTTTGAAATACTTTGAGTGAACCTCGGGGACCCCCTGTGGGTCTAGTTTTTGAAGTAATTTGAAAAAATCTCTGGAAGCTTTTATATCTTGTTTTTGAAGTACATTGAAAGAATCTCGAGGACCCCTTCTGGGTATAGTTTTTAAAGTAATTTGAAAGAATCTCGCGAACACTTTTTTTTTGTTCTTGAAGTAGTTTGATAGAATCTCGGGGACTTTTTCCGTTTTGTTTTTGAGGTAGATTAAAAGAATCTCGGTGACCTTCTGTGTTTTGTTTTTGAAGTATAGTTTGAAAGAATCTCGGAGACCACTTTTGGGTTTAGTTATGGAAGTAATTTGAAAGAATCTCGGGAACTTCTTGTGTTTTGTTTTTGAAGTAGTTGGAAAGAATCCCGGGCTTGGGGGTCTAGTTTTTGATGTAATTTGAAACAATTTCGAGGCCTCTTGCGTTTTGTTTTTGAAGCTGTTTGAAAGAATCTCGGTCACTTCTTGTGTTTTGTTTTTGAAGTAGTTTGACAGAATTTCGGAGACCCCCGTGGACCTAATTTTTTAAGTAATTTGTAAGAATCTCTGAGACCCCCCCGTGGGTCAAGTTTTTGAAATACTTTGAGTGAATCTCGGGGACCCCCTGTGGGTCTAGTTTTTGAAGTAATTTAATAAATCTCCGAAAGCTCTTATGTCTTGTTTTTGAAGTAGATTGAAAGAATCTTGAGGACCCTTTCTGGGTATAGTTTTTAAAGTAATTTGAAAGAATCTCCCGAACACCTTTTTTTTGTTCTTGAAGTAGTTTGATAGAATCTTGGGGACATTTTCCGTTTTGTTTTTGAGGTATAGTTTGAAAGAATCTCGGAGACCACTTTTGGGTTTAGTTTTGGAAGAAATTTGAAAGAACCTCAGGAATTTCTTGCGTTTTGTTTTTGAAGTAGTTTGAAAGAATCCCGGAGACCCCTTGGGGGTCTAGTTTTTGATGTAATTTGAAAGAATCTCGAGGCCTCTTGTGTTTTGTTTTTGAAGTAGTTTGAAAGAATCTCGGTCCTTTTGTGGATCTAGTTTTTGAAGTAATTTCAAAAATTTCCGGAAGCTCTTCGTTTTTTTTTTTGATGCAGTTTGAATCTCGAGGCACCTTGTGTTTTTTTTTTGAGGAAGTTTGAAAGAATCTCGGGCACCCTTTATCTGGTTTTTGAAGTAGTTTCAAAAGAATCTCGGGGACCCCTTTCGTCTGGTTTTTGAAGTAGTTTGAAAGAATCTCGGGGACCCCCTGTGGGTGTTGCGTTTGAATAAATTTGCAAGAATCTTGCCAACGCCTTTTTTTTGTTTTTGAAGTAGTTTGAAAGAATCCCGTGGCTCCTTGGGGCTCTAGTATTTGAAGTAATTTGAAAAATCTCCGGGAACTCTTGTGTTTTTTATCTGAACTAGTTTGAATCTCGAGGAATCGTGTGTTTTGTTTTTGAAGTAAATTGAAAGAAACTCGGGGATCCCCTGTGGGTCTAGTTTTTAAAGTAATTTGAAAGAATCTCCAGGCCTATTGCGTTTTGTTTTTGAAGTTGTTTGAAAGAATCTCGGTGACTTCTTGTGTTTTTTTTTTGAAGTAGTTTAACAAAATTTCAGAGACCCCCCGTGGATCTAATTTTTGAAGTAGTTTGAAAGAATCCCCTGGACTCATTGGGGTTATAGTTTTTGAAATAATTTGGAAGAATCTCGTGGCCCTGTTGTGCTTTTTTTTTATGAAGTAGTCTGAAAGAATCTCGGAGATTTCTCGTGGGTACAGTTTTTGAAGTAATTTGAAAAAATCTCCGGGAGTTCTTGTGTGTTTTTTTTCTGAAGTAGTTTGAATCTCGAGGAATCTTGTGTTTTGTTTTTGAAGTAGGTTGAAAGAATCTCGGGGATCTCCTGTGGGTCTACTTTTTGAAGTAATTTGAAAGAATCTCGAGGCCTCTTGCGTTTTCTATTTGAAGTTGTTTGAAATAATCTCGGTGACTTCTTGTGTTTTGTTTTTGAAGTAGTTTGAAAGAATCTAGGTTTTTCTGTGGATCTAGTTTTTGAAGTAATTTCAAAAATTTCCGGAAGCTCTTGTGTTTTTTTTTTCTGAAGTAGTTTGATTCTCGAGGCATGTTGTTTTTTGTTTTTGAAGAAATTTGAAAGAATCTCGGGGCCTCCTTTATCTGGTTTTTGAAGTAGTAGGAAATAATCTCGGGGACTCCCCATGGGTATGGTTTTTGAAGTAATTTGAAAGAATCTCCGGGAGCTCTTGTGTGTTTTTTTTTCTGAAGTACTTTGAATCTCGAAGAATCTTGTGTTTTGTTTTTGAAGTAAATTGAAAGAATCTCGGGAATCCCCTGTGTATCTAGTTTTTGAAGTAATTTTAAAGAATCTTGAAGCCTCTTGTGTTTTGTTTTCGAACTTGTTTGAAAGAATCTCGGTGACCTCTTGTGTTTTGTTTTTGAAATAGTTTGACAGAATTTCGGAGACCTTCGTGAACCTAATTTTTTAAGGAATTTGAAAGAATATCGGGGACTTCTTGGGGGTCTAGGTTTTGAAGTAGTTTGAAAAAAATCTCTGAGACCGCCCCCCCTCCCGTGGGTCTAGTTTCTATATACTTTGAGTGAATCTCGGGGATCCCCTGTGGGTCTAGTTTTTAAAGTAATTTGAAAGAATCTCGCGAATGCCTTTTTTTGTTTTTGAAGTAGTTTGATAAAGTCTCGGGGACCTCTTCCGTTTTGTTTTTGAAGTAGACTGAAAAAATCTCGGGGATCTTTTGTGTTTTGTTTTTGAAGTATAGTTTGAAAGAATGTCGGAGACCACTTTTGGGTTTAGTTTTGGAAGTAATTTGAAAGAATCTCGGGAACTTCTTGTGTTTTGTTTTTGAAGTAGTTTGAAAAAATCCCGGGGAGCCCTTGGGGGTCTAGTTTTTGATGTAATTTGGAAAAATCTCGTAGAGCTCTTGTGTTTTGTTTCTGAAGTAGTTTAACAGAATCTCGGAAATCCTCCGTGGACCTAATTATTGAAGTAATTTGGAAGAATTTCGGGGACCTCTTGTGTTTTTGAAGTAGATTGAAAGAACCTCATGGACATTTTGAAGTTTTTGAAGTAATTTGCAAGAATCTCGGAGTCTTCTCGTGTTTTGTTTTTGGAGTATGTAGTTTGAAAGGATTTCGGGGACTCCCTGTAACCCTAGTTTTTGAAGTAATTGGAAGGAATCTTGAGAATTCTTGTATTTTTTTAAGTAGTTTAACAAAATCTAGGTTTCTGTTGTCTGCTTTTTGAAGTAACTGGAAATAATCCCGGGGAAGATTTGTATATTGGTTTTGAAGAATTTGAAAGAATCTCTGGGATCCCCGTGGGTCCATTTTTTAAAGTTATTTGAAAGAATCTCGGGGACCCCTAGTGGGTATAATTTTCGAAGTAATTTGAAAGAATCTCGGAGGTAACTTGTGTTGTACTTTTTAAGTAGTTTGAAAGAATCTCTGAGATACCTTGTCTTGTTTTTGTTGTAATTTGAAAGAATCTTGGCAACGCCGTGTGGATGTAGTTTTTAAAGTAATTTTAAAGAATCTCGAGGTTTTTTCTGTTATGTTTTTGAAGTAGTTTGAAAGAATCTTGTCTTGTTTTTGTTGTAATTTGAAAGAATCTCGGGGATTCCTTGTGTATCTAGTTTTTGAAATAATTTGAAGGAATCTCGAGGCCTCTTGTGCTTTTTTTGAAGTAGTTTGAAGGATCTCGGGAACCTTTTGTATTTTGTTTTTTCAGTAGATTGAAAGAAAAACGTGGACTCACTGTGGGTCTAATTTTTGAAGTAATTTGAAAGATTCTTGGAGACCCTCCTTTTGGGACTAATTTTTGAAGTAATTTGAAAGAATCTCTGGGACCACTTGTGTTTTGTTTTTCAAGTAATTTAAAAAAATCCCGAGGACCCCCTGGGATTCCAGTTTTTGAAGTAATTTGAAAACTACTGTGGGTTTAATTTTTGAAGTAATTTGAAAGAATTTCAAGGTCCCTGGTGTTTTGTTTTTAAAGTAGATTGAAAGAATTTCGGATACCTTTTGGATTTAAATTTTGAATCAATTTGAAATAATTTCAGGGATCTCTTGTGTTCTGTTTTTGAAGTAATCTGAAACAATCTCGGGGAGATCTCTTATTTTTTATGTAATTTGAAATAATCTCGAGGACCATATCGGGATCTAGTTTTTGAAGGCATTTGAAAGAATCTCGAGGTCTCTTGTGTTTTGTTTTTGAAGTAGTTTAAAAGCATCTCGGGGACTTCTTACGTTTAGTTTTTGAAGTAGTTTGAAAAAATTTCGGTGACCTCTTGTGGGTCTAGTTTTTGAAGTAATTTGAAAGAATTTCCGAGAACCCTTGTGTTTTGTTTTTGAAGTAGCCTAAAAAAATCTCGAAGACCCCATTTGGGAGTAGTTTTTGAAGTAATTTGAAAGAATCTCGGAGATCTCTTGTGTTTTATTTTTTTAATTAGATTGAAACAATCTCGGGTTGCCCCTGTCGGTCTAGTTTTTGAAGAAATTTAAGAGAATCTCAGAAGCCTCATGTGGTTCTAATTTTTGAAGTAATTTGAAAGAATTTAGAGATCTCTTGTGTTTTGTTTTTGAAGTAGTTTAAAAAAATCTCGGGGACCCCATTTGGGACTAGTTTTTGAAATAATTTGAAAGAATCTCGGAGACCTGTTGTGTTTTGTTTTTGAAGTAGATTGAGACAATCTCTAGTTCCTCTATCGGTCGGGTTCCTCCTGTCGGTCTAGTTTTTGAAGTAATTTGAAAGAATCTCAAGGCGTCTTGTGTTCTGTTTTTGAAGTAGTTTGAAAGAATCTCAGGGACCTCATGTGTTTTGTTTTTGAAGTAGTTTGGAAGAATCTCGGAGAATCTACGTGGATCTAATTTTTTAAGTAATTTGAAAGAATTTCCGAGAACCCTTTTGGGTCTAACTTTTGAAATAATGTGAAAGTATCTCTTGTATATTGTTTTTGAAGTAGTTTGTAATAATCCTGGGGACCCCCTGGGAATCTAGTTTTTGAAATATATAATTTGGAAAATATCCTAGTAGGCACTTGTGTTTGGTTTTTTAAGTAGTTTGAAAAAATCTCGGGAAGACCTTCTCCTGTTTTTGTTGTAATTTGAAAGAATCTCGGAGACCCCATCTGGATGTAGTTTTTGAAGTAATTTGAAAGAATTTAGAGATCTCTTGTGTTTTGTTTTTGAAGTAGTTTGAAAGGGGCTCGGGGACTTCCCACGTTTTGTTTTTGAGATAGTTCGAAAGAATCTCGGTGACCTCTTGTGTTCTGTTTTAGAAGTGGATTGAAAGAATTTCGGATTTCCCCTAGTTTTTGCAGTAATTTCAAAGAATCTTGGGAACCTCTTATGTTTTTTTTTTGAAGTAGTTTGAAAGAATCCCGGGGACCCCCCGTGGATTTATTTTGTTGGATAATTTGAAAGAATCTCGGAGACCTATTGTGTTTTGTTTTTGAAGTAGATTAAAAGAATCTGGGGGACCCTCTGCCGGTCTAGTTTTTGAAGTAATTTCAAAGAATCTCAATTCATCTTGTGTTTTGTTTTTGAAGTAGTTTGAAAGAATCTCGGGAACCTCTTGTGTTTTGTTTTTGAAGTAATCAGGAAAAAGATAAAGACATTTTTCGGGTTTGGACCATGTGAAATGTTTCGACGTTTCGCCCACTTTCGTAAGGGGTATCTTCAGGAAGTACCATACCAGTCTTGCACACCTTTTACCAACACTCTGTATTCTGGATTCTGTTTCTTTCTCTTCATTGAACTTTTCGTTCATTTACTTCCTGAAGTTGCTCCTCACATAAGTGGACAAAACGTCGAAACCTTTCTTAAATTTCACATGGTCCAAACCCGAAAAACGTCTAGATATCAGTGACTCTGGCCGTGAAAACCTCTGAATCCATTTAACTGAAAGAATCTCGGTGATCCCATCTGGGTCTAGTTTTTGAAGTAATTTAAAGAATCTTTGGGATCTCAGATAGGTCTAGTTTTTGAAATAATTTGAAAAAATCCTCTTGGTCCCTTGTGTTTTGTTTTTGAAGTAGTTTGAAACAATCTGGGGGACCGCCTATGGGTGTAATTTTTCTAGTGATGTGAAAGAATCTCGAAAACTCTCTGGGGTACTATTGAAGTAGTCTGAAAGAATCTCGGAGTCCCTTCTGTTTTTTTTAAGTAGTTTATGAGAATCTCGGGGACCTCTTACATTTTGTTTTTGAAGTACCTGCAAAGATTCTCGGGGACCTCTTTCGTTTTACTTTTGAAGTAGTTTGAAAGAATCTCGTTAACCCCTTATGTTTTGTTTTAAAGTATTTGAAAGAGTCTAAAACTTTGCCGTATTACCACCACTAACTGCCACTTTAAATTCGTCTAACACAAGTGCCATACATTTTTAGATAACACTTTTGTGACTATTTTTTTAACAAACATAAACAACCATTCCGTATCAAAACACTGCCACATATCATGTTTTTCAATCGTCAACACAGCTCGAATTTGTAGAAGGTGGCTGAGTTGGCAGACTTCTAACAACATGATTAATTCTAACTCTAGCTCCAGAGTCACCCAAGCGATTTTAGTACTTTTCCACAAAACCAGAAATAGATTCACATTTCTTTCTTATTGTCGCAGGTGGGGTTCGGTTCGCCCTCCAATGGGGTACTCCAGCGTGGTGACATCATCACCAAAGTGGGCAACTACGATGCCAGAGACATTCGTCACCAGGATGCGCAGACTTTATTTAAAAACGCTGGCACGAACATCCGAGTGGTCGTACAAAGGTGAGCATGATAATGAGTAATCGCCACTTATCGACAATTTTTCACTCATCTCGAACGAGCAGAAGCCGATATATTAAATATAGAACCGATGGGCGTTGCCAGTACTTTTATCTGTTTATTGCATTTTTTTATAGGCTGCTGGACCGGAAGTGGGTTAGGGGTTATTAATAGGTGTGGAGCGTGTTTGAGGAGGCTTTGACGCGATAACAATTTAATAATAATAATAATAATAATAATGATAATGATGAAAACGTCGTTTGCGCTTTCACTTTCAAGTTCGACTCCAACTAGTAACCGAGTCCTGTAGGAAGATTTATGACAAGTTATCTCCTTCCAAGATTTCTATCGTGACGTGACCTAGAGCAAGGCTGCGGTTCATCAACCTGTATGCACCTAAAAATAACCCCAAATCCTTGGGATCGAATTTAGTTTTTGAAATTGGCTGATGACACTTATATTTTCGAGAATTTTTGCACTACTTCCTTGACTGTTTTCTGTTGTAGGGAAAACACTCCTCGGCAGAATACCAGCACGGGATCGTCCAGGACTAGTTCCCACAACTACAGTCCTCTGTCGGTTTCGCCGCATCTTTCTCCCAAAGGAAATTACTTTTCGTCGCCTGCTCCTTACAGTCCTGCAGGATCAGCGTTGACTCCGTATTACTCCTTGCCTATGACACCCGTCGACGATAATTACTTCGAATCGGTTACTTATAGTCCAGGGGCCAAAAAGGGCGGTACTCTGGACACGGATTTTCATGTGACTAAACAGGTACGTGATTTTTGAATTAAAAATAAAAAACAACAATTTTCGAAAACCGTATGTATATTAATTGAGTAAATAAATTTGGGACAAACTTTTATAGTCCAGTTTAAAAAAATATTTATAGTTTTCTTTTTTAGATGCAAAAAACTGCACGTGTCACTTGCTGTCGAATGCCTTTAGTGCTCTCGAATGATTTTTTAACTCGACTGGCGCCTCGTCAAGGCAACTTCATTCTCGTACATACGCCACGCCAGATTTACGTTCTATTTATAATTTGCAGGTCTTAAAATTTTTATATTTGCATTAAATAATAACGTACGTAAAATTAAATTGCCGTATGATTTTTATTTTAGAGATTTATATTGAGATTACTTCGCATTTATTATGTCTAGATTCACATTTTTTACGGTTACGGGTTTTACAACTTTCCAACTGTAAACTCGACATTTGTGAACTGGGTTTTCAATTTTTCATTTTTTACTTTAAGTAAAAAATATTAAATTTGGACAATCAAATTTTGCATTCTGTCTCAAAAATTATACAATAGTGTTTTCTTAAATGTTTTTGTTAAATATTGACAACGTTAATGTTCAGTTTACAGCAGATTGAATAAATTAATTTTTCCTTTCACCTAAAAGTTAAAAATGTACGTATTACTTTATAATTTATGTTCAACAACAATTATTGCTCATCCAAAAACCATAACTTCATGGGGTATTGTATTATTTTGAAAATTTTATCAATTTTGTCTATTTTTAACATTAATTAAGAATTATTTTTTGTTTGTTTTTAGTTGGTTTAAAGTGAGGTAGACATTTTAATTTACCTAGCATTTTTTTAGGTGACGTCAACAAAATTTTGGTGGGGATGGATAGACATATTTCGGTTAGCGATCTATCAACTTGATGACAACTTCAAAACACGTGCTAAATTTCAAACACCAATTGGTTCCTTAGTTTCTAAGATAACAAAATTTGTTGTACAACTTTGAATTTTAGCATAATATAACGATATTAATACTAACATTAATAGGTCTCCAAGTTTTTTGAAATTATTTCCAAAATAAAATACCAGAGGTTCGAAAAATTTGCTCAAATTTTTTTAATACAAAATGCCAGAAGTTTCCAAGGTACCTAATTTTAATCGTGAAAAGAAACAACAAAAGCTCCAACATTCCTTTAAATTTTGAAACGAATAAAAGCACTAAAAACCCCAAAATTCGTTAAAATTTTTCGAAAACAAAACATGAAAATTTTCCGAAGTTCTTTTAATGTCTTTGAAATAAAAAACAATGGGCCCTCCAAGATTCTTTTAAATTCTTACAAAGAAAGACACACTCTTTTTTCTGAGGGTCCCAAGGTTCTTTCAAATTTTTCTAAAGAGAAATGTTTCTTAAGTTCTTTTAACAGTTTTGAAAAAACAACAGAGCGTTCAAAATTCTCTTAAATGATTTAAAAATAAAAGTATCAGAAGCCTTATGGTGTTTTCAAGTGTTAAAAAAATACTAGGTGTCCCCAAAACTCTTTTAAATTTTTAAAGGAAGAAAAACAGTTCTTTCAGATAATTCCAAAAATAAAATATCAGAGGATCCTTTTTTTTTTAATTCTTGCCAAGACAATACAGCTTCCAAGTTCTTTAACCACTTAAAAAAAATGTCTAGATTCTTCCAAATTATTGTTTCAGAAATAAAATACCAGAGGTTCCAAAATTCTTTTAATCTTTCCAAGAAGCAGCAAGAGCTCCCAAGATTTTTGAAATTTTTATGAGAATATAAACAACAAGAATCCTTAGATTTTTTCAAATTTTTCGAAAAAAAAAACACCAGCCTAGCTCAAAGGAACACTAAGGACCCCAAGATTCTTCCAAATAATTTCCAAAAATGAAATCAGAGGCTTCCAAGGTTCTTTTAGTCTTAAAACATCGCCAAATCCCCCAAAACCATTTTAAATTTTTAAAAGAAGAAAAAACACCGAGAAGCCAAGATTCTCTCAAATTTTTTGTGAACATACACCAAATTTTCCAACGTTTTTTAATCTCTAACAAAAATGCACCAGGATTCCCTAAAATTCTTTTAAACTCTTAAAAAAAAGGTTGCAACTACCCCAAAATTCTTTAAAATTATTTCAAAAATGAAATATTAGAAACCCCTAAGTTTTTTTAAAATCCTTTCGAGACAAAAAACCAGAAGCTGTCAGGTATCTTTTAATTAAAAAAAAAACACTATTTGCCTCCAAAACCCTTTTAAATTATTTCAACAATAAAATACTAGAGGTTTCCAAGTTTTTTTTTAATCTTTCAAAAAATTGCAGGTGCTCCCAAGATTTTTTTACGGTTTTAATACAATAAAAACACCAAGAACCCCAAGATGCTTTAAAATTTTTCGAAAACAAAGTACCAATTTTTCCAAGGTTCTATTAACCTTTTCAAATGCTCTTGCAAATAATTCCAAAAATAAAATATCAGAAGCACTTAAGATTTTTTTAATTCTTCTCGAGGCAAAACAGCAGAAGCTTTCAAGGTTCTTTTGATCCCTAAAAAAAAAAACAACAGAGGGGCCTAAAGATCATTTACCAATTTTTTGAAATTACAACAACAAAATTTTCGAACCACTTTGCAAAAAATGTTTAGCCTTCCACAAGATTTTTTTTAATTTATAAAAATGAACGCTGGGTATCTCAAGATTCTTTCAAATTATTATTTCAGAAACAAAATATCAGAAGTTTTTTTAATCTTTGAAAGAAACCACAAGAGCTCCCAAAATTTTAAGAGAATAAAAACAAGAATCCCCAGATTTTTTCAAATTTTTCGAAAACTATACACCAAAAGTTTCCAAGATTCTTTTAACCTCTTTTGAACCTCAAGATTGTTCCAAATAATTTCCAGAAATATTCAAAACATTAGCGGCTAGTCTAAAAAAAATAACAAATATTCTTCTAAATTCTTTAAATTGTAAAAACACCGAGAACTATCAGAATTTTTTCAAATTTTGCGAAAACAAAACACCAAAATCTTCCAAGGTCCTTTAACCATATAAAAAAACATCAAGGCTTCCGATATCTTTCTAAATTCTTAAAAAAAAGAAAATTAGGGACCAAGGTTTCTCCAAATAATTTCAAAAATAAAATGTAAGAGGTTTTCCAGATTTTTTCAAATTTTTTCCAAAACAAAACACCAAAGGTTTTTAATCTTTCAAAATATGCAGTAGCCTCCAAAATTCTTTTAAGTTTTTTAAATAATAAAAACACCTAGAACCTCATAATTATTACAAATAAATTTTTAGAAAACGAAACACCAAAATTTTCCAAAGTTCTTTAACCACTTACAAAAAAAAAAATATCTACCTCTCCACAAGATTTTTTTAAATTCTTATAAAATGAACACTAGAGACCTCAAGATTCTTTCAAATTATTATTTTAGAAACAAAATACCAGAGATTCTAAAGCTCTTTTAATCTTTCAAAGAAACAACAAGAGCTTGCAAGATTCTTTAAATTTTTAAGAGAATAAAAACAACAAGAATTCCTAGATTTTTCAAATTTTCGAAAACTATACACCAAAATTTTCCAAAATTCTTTTAACTTCTATGAAAAAAAAAAATCAGCCTCGTGCAAGATTCTTTTAAATTAAAAAAGAACACAAAGGACTCCAAGATTCTTCCAAATAATTTCCAGAAATAAAATACTTAAAACATCAGAAACTCCCTAGGTCCTCTTAATCTGAAAAAAAGGGTCCCGAATATTCTTCTAAATTCTTAAAATTGTAAAAACACCGAGAAAAAAGAGAATTAGGGACCAAGGTTTCTCCAAATATTTTCAAAAATAAAATATAAGAGGTTTTCCGCTTTTTTTTTCAATTTTTTTCCAAAACAACACACCAAAGGTTTTTAATCTTTCAAAATATGCAGTAGCCTCCAAGATTCTTTTAAGTTTTTAAATTATAAAAACACCTAGAACCTCATAATTATTACAGATTTTTCGAAGAAAACACAAACATTTTCCAAAGTTCTTTAACCACTTACAAAAAAAAAATGTCTACCTCTCTACAAGATTTTTTTTATTCTTAAAAAATGAACGCTAGAGACCTCAAGATTCTTTCAAATTATTATTTTAGAAACAAAATACCAGAGATTCTAAAGTTCTTTTAATCTTTCAAAGAAACAGCAAGAGGTCGCAAGATTCTTTAAATTTTTAAGAGAATAAAAACAACAAGAATTCCTAGGTTTTGCAAATTTTCGAAAACTATACACCAAAATTTTCCAAAATTCTTTTAACTTTGAAAAAAAAATCAGCCTCGTTCAAGATTCTTTTAAATTAAAAAAGAACACAAAGGACTCCAAGATTTTTCCAAATAATTTCCAGAAATAAAATACTTGAAACATCAGAAGCTCCCTGGGTCCTCCTAGCCTGAAAAAAGGGTCCCGAATATTCTTCTAAATTCTTAAAATTGTAAAAACACCGGGAACTATCAAAAGTTTTTCAAATTTTGCGAAAACAAAACACCAAAAGGTCCTTGAACCATATAAAAAAACATCAAGGCCTCCGAGATCTTTTTAAATTCTTAAAAAAAAGAAAATTTGGGACCAAGGTTCCTCCCAATAATTTCAAAAATAAAATATAAGAGGTTTTCCAGATTTTTTCAAATTTTTTCCAAAACAAAACACCGAAGGTTTTAATCTTTCAAAATATGCAGTAGCCTCCAAGATTATTTTAAGTTTTTTAAATAATAAAAACACCTAGAACCTCATAATTATTATAGATTTTTCGAAATCAAAACACCAAAATCTTCCAAAGTTCTGTAGCCACTTACAAAAAAAAAATGTCTACCTCTCCACAGGATTTTTTTAAATTCTTAAAAAATGAGCACTAGAGACCTCAAGATTCTTTCCAATTATTTTTTCAAAAAGCAAGATACCAGAGGCTCCCAAAGTTCTTTTAATCTTTCAAAGAAACAGCAGGCGCTCCTAAGATTCTTTAAATTTTTAAGAAGATACAAACAACAAGAACCCCA